TGATAAATTCCATAGGTTAACGATGTCATGTGAAAATATATACTTTTTTTCCTAGTCTGAATTTCCCACTATCTAGTTTTTATTGCATGACCTCATATTATGAGAGCAGGAGAAAACATCTATTCATTTTTGCAACATCATGCATCACTGTAGTTATTTGTAAGACTGATATGACTGCCCAACTTAGTATATGACTCTTACATCCCTCTTTCCCTTTTTCTGCCCAGCTGAGATACAGACATTAACCAACACTGGCATGTCTTAAAAAGTTAAGTGGGGTTACACTTGATTAGTACTTGGAAGGGACCACCGGGAAATAACAAGAGTTAAAGTTGGATTGAGAAGTTGAAAAAATGTTCTGAAAGTAGGCAATGGGATGAAAGTTGCCAAGAAAACTGCACGGACAAGTACAGGAGGTCACCAGGAGCTGAGTTCACCATAAACAAAATTTCAACTTCACCTTCTATTGTATGCCTTTTTGTCTAAATAGCCTCAAATATTCTAACCAACTCATGAACAAAACCTACTGTAGTCCAAGACATCACTTACAAAATGTGCTACTTCTGTTTGGACAGGGTGGCATTGTTGGAATCACCATAAATTGGGACTGTGACCTTGATTGGTCGGTGAAATACTGTGTGCCTGTTTATAAGTTCCATAGACTTTACAATGAAGACAATAACATCTCTCCAGGCTATAATTTCAGGTATGGTATGACTTCTGTGGTTATTTCGTTTAACGCACCACATTTCAGCTGGTATGAAAACCGGTGCTGGGCCATATACAACTAAGGAGAAGGAGCAAGGAAAGAAATATTAGGGAGTTAGGGCCAAACGTCAGGAGCCAGGAAGCCCAATGGAAATTTAGGATTAACCTGGAAGCTTCACTACTTCAGCCTGGGTGAACTGAGTGAGTCCTTGGGGTTCTCTGAGCTTGGCTGTTTTCTTGTAAACATTTCATTACCCAGCTAGGTAACATCTTCGGTGCTAGAATGGAATGGGTTTTGCATATATTACACATATTCGCTTCTATTGAATTGAGTGACTCCAGAGCATAAGGACATTTCATTGTCTAGAGAACTCAAACTAGCAACTGTGAAGAAACAGCACACAGAGCAATGGATTATATTGGTTTATCTGCTGGAAACCGCCCAGTGTCATTTCAAGGAGCTGGGCAGTGACAAATTTGATAAATAAATAACTAAATAAAAAATAAATTATTTGGATAAGGTCTCCTTGGATAAGGTCTCTGTTCGCTGTTTTTTGCTTTAAAAAAATAAGTAATTGCGATGAATGTCATCCTATATTCCCATACTGTTTGCCAGACAGCATTTGGAAGTAGAAATTCTGTTCTAGCTCACTAATTACTGTATAGCAGGCCAGCACCATCTTGTGGATTGCTGAGAACACTGCATTCATGTTTGTAAATCAGGTTTCATATAGTACAGCGGTTCTCAAAGTGTGGTCTGGGGGTCCCTGGGGGTCCCTGAGACCCTTTCAGGGGTCTATGGAATCAAATAATTAAATTTTTTAAAATGTCTCAGTTTTAATTTGTAATATAGTAAATATCGACAGATGTAACCCACATAAATCAAAACTCTTTGGGATTCTCAATCATTTTTAAGAATGTAAAGGGGTTCTGAAACCGAAATATTTGAGAACCACTGATATAGTATATCTTCTAGGATTTTTTTTGTTAACAAATTTTGATTTTGCTTATCTCTTGTGAGATTGTTCTAGTCCCCATCGGTACCCCACCCCCCAAAAAAATAAGGGCTGGGAGAAGGGCTAATGCCTCTAGTCATATGCTACAGGATCAGGAAGTATTATTTCATTCTTGTTTTCATTTTTACCCTTTTACAAACTTCAGCAGTACAGGTTGTTAGAGCTCAATCTCTCTCATAGACTGGGATTATGGGTGAGAATGTCAGGAAAGGTACCCCTTGGAAGATAGATGGTGGCAGGAGAAACTGTTCCAGGATAGGAAATGTGCATAAACCCAGTGAGCTTCTGGGAGAACTTTAAAACTTCCAGCCTTTCACCCTATAGCAGTGTTTCTCAACCTTGGCCACTTGAAGATGTGTGGGACTTCAACTCCCAGAATTGGCTGGCTGGGTGGCTGGGGAATTCTGGAAGTTGAAGTCCTACACATCTTCAAGTGGCCAAGGTTGAGAAACACTGCCCTATAGGCTCAATCCTGCCACTACAATAATATTGACAATATAGTGGTAATGTTCAGGCAGTTCTTAATGTGAGAATCGAAAGATTTCAGAAGTATCTGTTTTCTGGGATTCTGGGATTTTATTATTCTGTTCAATGTCTTCATATTTATCCTTCTTGTGATATATAGCCCATTGGAAGAGGAACAAGGAGGACTGTTGCTGTGTGCAATCATCTGTTGCATACATGACCCATAGTTAAGGGTCAGGTGAAAATATTTGAGAGATGGTGACTACAAGTTGAGATTTTAAAACCAAAAAGTAGAAAGAACTGTTTACTTTTAAAACAGGAAGGAAGAAAAACTGAAATACTGGTAGAGATCACCAAAGCATTGGGAACCTGACCAAAATTGGCCAAAAGAATCCAGGTGATAAAGTTTCAGGGTACACATTGTGGAATCCAATGTGTTGGCTCTGGCTCTGGTGTTTAGGACCAGTATATAGGAATGACTGCCTACAGCAGTGTTGTCCAAACTTGGCCACTTTAAGATGAATGGACTTCAACTCCCAGAATTCCCCAGCCAGCCATGCATGGCT